AAATAATAATAATAAGTAGGAGGAAAGAGATGGGAAGATGCTGATCCAGGGGCACAGATTTTCAACTGTCCTAGGTTAGTGATAATGTACATTGCACATTTCAAAACAGGCATATCAGCTATTTAGTCACAAGTGTACATTCTGGTATGATAGATAAATCCAATAAAAAAATAACATGCGTCACCCAATGCAGTCCTGACCTCAACCAGAATCTGGTCTCCAATTCTCCAAGACAAGTACAGTCTCTCATCCAGCTAGACCAAACTTATCTCATTACACTAGGAGAACATTATGACAAGTGTTGTGAGATACTATAGGGTTGAAGAATGAAGGCTGTGTGTGAGCTTGGTTTATGTTTTATTTCCCTTCCCGTTGGTGGAACCCACCATGATGCAATCTCAACCTTTTGGGTGCCTAGTCTCTAGAAACTGATAGAAGGAGTTCATGAACAGCAGCACAAGCAGAGCTATCCACCCACCAGGAGTTGTTGGTGAGGTTCTCTCATGACTTTGCCATAGTCTGCACCCTGAAAGGAGATGTTACTAGTCTCCACTTTGTGGATAAAGAAAGAACCAGCTGGGAACTGGACTCAGATTCCCATCTGTTCCCATCACCCCACCCTTCCATGTTAGAACGTGAACTTTCCATCATGAGAGTTGGGAGCTACAAGAAGATTCTAAACAGGAGAACAGCAAGGTTATTCTGCATATGGGACTCTTACTGGTACAGGAGTATGGAGGGTACAGGTTAGAGGAGGGGAATTGAGTTAGGTCCTCTCTCCATGTGAGGGGGAAAGAGTTGAATTGAAGGGAATGAAGGGGCCATGTGCCAGGAAAGGTTGGCAGTGAGGAAGAGGAGGGGTGAGATGGCTCACATGTGAAAGATGATTGCCACCAAGCCTGACTGTCTGAGTTCAGTCATCAGAGTAGAAGGTGAGAATTGATTTCCACAAATTGTCCTCTGACCTCCACACATGCACCGTGTGTCCCCACACAGATGGATGGGTTCATGTGTGCACATACTCTAATTCAATAGGTGAACGTAACTTTAAACATTAAAAAGGGAAGGTGAACCAGGAAGACTTGAAGGCTACCCATGAAGTGGCAACAAGGGAGGAAAGTCTAGAAGAATCTAGGTTTCTAGTCAAAATGATGCTACTTACAACCCAGGAGGCAAAGTTAATTCTGGGGGGAGTGCAGAGGAATTCCATTTTGGGCATCTTATTTGGAATTCCCAAGGGGCAGCTGTTCATATATTTCTGGGGCTCAGGAAAGGTTACTGGGATGTGGTGTGTGGCCTTTATGCGGTCTACAACCGTCAGGGGTGGAGAGCAAATTCAAACTCACACTATCTCCCTTGTCCCACCCAGAAGGGAATAGAAGGGCTTGAGACAAATTTAGAAACTAATAGGTACCATAGATTGGAGCTTGGAAGACAAAACAAGTATACTTACTGAGTACAACAGCCCAGTTACATGGCTATTAGTCATTGTCTCAGCTTCATGAATGAGGAAAATAGCCTTTAAGAAGATAAAGGGAGTTTTAATGCAAAACTACTCATTAGTAGCAACATCAGGATTTGAACTCTTGTGTCTGACTCTAAAGCAGTTGCTAGTTACCTCTCTGCCATTCTGTGTCTGCCTTTGGAAGACTTTCTTTTACTCTTGTCCTTGCAATCATTAAAACTTCATTGTAACTCAAAGAGAAAACACATATTGGAAAAGTTCTCAAACAATGTCTGCTATCTAGGGTTTTCCCAGACCAAACTTGCAACATTGTTATAGGTAATACAACTTCTTAGATTCTGGTGGAATTTTCTGAACATGTTGCTCAATTCCACTTCTAATTGACAGAGAGAGAGAGAGAGAGAGAGAGAGAGAGAGAGAGAGAGAGAGAGAGAGAGAGCCCTAGGGTCACCCTGTCAGCCAGTAGCAACAGAGCCCATACTTACCCAGTTAGGGATATTTGGCAATCCCATGTCCCTAGGACTCCATCCTGGAAACATGGACTGAAGGGGTAGGTTGGCAGTTTTCTGGACTGAGAACAGGACATGCCCAGGTCAATGAGTCTGTTTCAGCACCATGGCCAGGGGCGCGCTTAAGGCTTCAAGATCTAAGCAGCCACTTCTGAAAATTAGCCTGGCAGTGACATTTCATCAGTCGGCCTTGGACCAGGGATCTCCAAAGCAGAGGTAATGGACAGGACATGGAAATAGGCCAGGAGCCTAGAAACTAGATGGAGAAACGCACAAGGGAGCTTTTGGACCTTACTGGAACCCCAGGGAACTGACTAAAAGACTTGTCCTCTGGCTCCTGTTCCTCTTCTACCAAAAGGCACAGAGTGAAAAGCACCAAACTACTAAACTAGAGTCATTGTCTCAGGTCTGTTTTCTCCCACAGTCACCAGATGACCACGGGTCTTATGAAGGTCACTTCCGGGATCGGTGTTCACAGGAGGGAGGCCCTTCATCTTGCCCTGCCCACCAGCATTAAGAGGGTACCTGAGATGGGTGCCAAGCCTCAAATCCCCCACAATTCATCCCTGCATCTGGCCCCTGGAAGGTCAGCAAGTGTCAGCTCCTGCTCTTTTCTTGAGCACTGGTCTGCCGGAATTTTGAAGGTTGGTGTTAAGTGGGAGAGGGGACTCAAAAGAGGAAATGTTGCATACATGTAATTAGATTTGCTTGGTGTCTATTCCGTAAACTACTTCATCCACTCCTTCCCACACTGACCTTGGTGCTAGGGACCATTTCTGGCAGAAGTGTGGGTGAGGTGGGGGGGGGGGCTGTAACTTCATTCTTTGTAGGCATAGCCTTCTCTTAGTCTCCCAGAAATCTAGGCAATGGGTTTTGAGAAAGTGTCTCTAACTGCTGTTTTGATTTAGCTGAGGCTTGGAGACTTGTCCAAGGTCATACAGCCCTGTACTCCAAAGGGGAAGTTTTCTCTCAGCCCTGCCTGCTTTTGTGCAAGCCCTGTGGCCTGGCTCCCAGACATTAGCATTCCAACAGCTCTGGGTCGCTTTGTCCTCCAATCAAGGCTGGCTGGGGGTTGGGGGGAGGGGTGGGATGAGGGCAGGGCACCATAAATCTACCTGCTTGTGTGTGCTGAAGGGGTTGGGGGGGCGTTGAGTCCAAGATTCATGTGCTGTTCTGGGAGCTAGACTTGGACTCAGACAAAAGCAGAAGAGGATAGAGATGCACTCTATCCAAGGGCTTTTCCTGACAGGACTTGGGATCTTGTCAGTACTTCTGGGAGCTGGTCACTCACTGATGGTGACCCCAGACTACAAGAGCAAACAAAGGAAGCCAGTCAGAAGGAGTTTCCAGCAGGTACACTGAGCTTTAAAAGCTGCAAAACATCCTGTGTTCAGACAGGTGAGAGGCAAGTTGTTTGTAGTCGGATTTATGGCTCCCACATTTCCTAGAAGGGCTCTTCAGTAAGAAACACACACTGATGCCTCTATCCACACCACAGAGCCCTACATTTCTCAGGAATTCAAATCAAACCCTAAACCTTCATCTGCCTCACCCCACCCCAACTTGGAGAATAGGTGGGATAGCTCTGGAGTCAAATCCACACTTAATTATGGGTAACAGCTGAGTCACAGGGCTTAAATTGTACATGTGTCCATGCATGGGGCAGAGGCTGAGGCTGTGTGTATCCACCTACTCTCCTTAGAGAGTGCTTGGGACATTCTACAGTGGGTGCTCCTCAGCCTCCTCCTTCGTTCAGGCAGGCACTTGTACCAAAGGAGCACCCACCCACCCTAGGGAAACACTACTTTCCACAGTCTGAAACAGGAAAAGGGGGGAGCCTTCTTGCTTTTCAGATCTGCTTATACCCCCCATCCAGTGCTTAACATATAGCAAGCTTGGTCTGTGCAGCATGGAACTGTTGACACCTAGGCAGTGCCCCAGGTAGAAAGTTAGCTGTTGTTGAGGTTTCCAATAAGCCATTAATCTCCTCCTCCCAGATTAAAACACCAACCGAAACAATGCTCCGTTCATTCACTTGTTTGCAATGTCCGTCCCCCACCCCAGCCCTGTCCTTGATAAGGAAGACAACCCCTCTGAGCCTCCTTTAGGGACTTGGAATCAGAGGAAATGTTCAGATTTGGGGGGCATCAGAGAGAAAGACACGAGAGGCATTAGCAATCAGAGCCTGCCACCGGTAAGTTCTAGGACAGAAGCAACCTGCCCAGATCAGAGTCACCGGCAGTACCCCATCTGGGTGGGTTCATTTCTTTTCCTTCCCCCTTTGGCTGGGTGCCTGGATATCTGCCCTCCATTTTCTTGGTCCCAAGGGGCAAGCAGTGCAATTTCCTTACAGCTCAGCAGAGCTTCTCCGAGGCAATGCCAGGCCTCAGTTCTCTGCTGGTGCCTCAGATGGTTCTCAGTGCCAGAGTGAGCCAGTCTCCAGTCACCTAGAGAGCTAGAGAGCTTGCTCACTGGGCTGAAAAGCCAGGGTACTTTATGAACAGATACATAGTCAAGAGCACACGTTTCTAGGGGAATAGAGATCCCAGCTGGACTCTCTATCTTCTCTGCTAAACTGCTTGAAAACGTGGTTTTCTGGAGCCTGGTCAGTAAAATGTGCCTTAGGAGTGAAGTCATGCTGGGTGTCTAAATAAATACCTTAGTGGGGTGGGTTCCTGGGGATGGTGTTCTAGGACTCCTGTTATAATTTATTATTGTCTCCCTTTCCTAAGGGCAATATGGTTCTAAATCCAGGCAGATAAGTGATGGGGGGGTTCATAAAATCACTAGCCTCATTTAGAGACTTGACTTTCTTCTAAAGTGCTGTTGGAAGTAGGCCCCAGACTGATGATTTCTTCACCTCCTATGCTCTGAAAATGACCTGCCCTACCTCCAGCTCAGCCCTCAAGGTGGAGGTCCCAGGCCCTAGAAAAATCCTCATCTCACTGCTGGGAGTAGAATTGCCCTATCCACCCCAGCGGCGGCTGCCACCCTCCTCCCCTTTGCTCAGCACAATAGAGTCCACCTTGATGATCCATCTTTTATTAATTAGCCCAAAAATCTCAATCACCAGTCCCTGATACTCTTATGTACAAAATATAAACTTACCCACCATGAAATAGCATCAATAAATACAAACGTGTAAAATGGGGGGAAGAGGCATATAATTTACCAAAGCAAAATTCATTTCAAAAGGCATTATACCATTTACAAACTGATTTTTCTTTTTTCCTTTTTAGGGAGATGAGCAGTGCTCCAGGAACCTGTCCCTGAAGTTTACAGTTTCAGACACAGGAGCCAGACCGGGAAGATGCTCCCAGCCATAGTCCAGGGCTTTTCCCAGTTCACAAACCCGATGATGACTTGAAAAGTGCAGAAGGAGAAGGCAGAAAATCACCTTCGTGGGTTAAGGCAGAATGGAGGGCCCGGAAACCCTGTATTTAATGGGCAGCAGAGAAGGTGAGCATTGTCTATACAGCAAGGTGAGTGAGCAGGAGCCAGATGAGACAACCAGTGCAGTGAGCCACCACACTGGATTGGGCCACCCAGGAGAGAGCGATGGTCAGAGGCTGACAGATTTGAATGAGGGCAGGGTCACCAGGAAGTATGGGAGTCTCCAACAGTGTAGCGCTACCACTCTCATCAGCTTTGAACGAGAGTTTGAGGTTGCTACACAGAGGAGGTTTAAGAAGACAGCAGCCTGCAATGCCCGCTGTGCATGGGCAGCAGCTAGGGTGCTGTTAGGAGAGCCTGGTTGAACCAGCGAGTGGAGACAGGGACCCGGCTAGTGAGAGCCAGAAGGAGCAAGGACGCTTGAGGCCTCCAATACCTCCCACCTCGGCGGCTCTGGCTCCCTCCCTTTCTGCTAGCCCCCACCACCCAGAGCCAGACAGGTCTCTTCATAAGAAGTCTGAGAACACCAGTGCGCCTGGGAGCAGACAGGAGGGAGAGCTGGGCACCTGCAGGCCAGGGAACTCCTCCAGCGAGGCGGTAGGGCTCAGGCTGCCAGTTTGGGAAACTGGGGAGTAGAGAGAGCCCCAGTCCCCATTGGAGCCACCTCCCGGGCTGCCCAGCTCTCCACAGGGCACAGGGGGCTCCGGCCCATAGAAGCTGTGGTCCGCTATGCGCAGCGTCTGAGTCAGTGCCCAGATGTAATTGTGGGCGAAGCGCAACGTCTCGATCTTTGTAAGTTTGGCGTCATCCGGGAAGGTGGGCAAGACACCGCGCAACGCATCCAGTGCCGAGTTGAGGTTGTGCATGCGATTACGCTCCCGGTCATTGGCCTTCTTTCGCCGGCTACGTCGTTGCTTGCTCAGTGCCAACTCGCTTTTGGGCCGGTTGCGCCCTCCACGCCGCGTGCGGAGCTTCCTCGAGGTCCCTCGGCAGTCACCTGCTTCTGTTTCTGAGCAGTCCCTCGACATGAGAGTGGGGCTTGGTGGGGTGGATTTGGAGCTGAGCACTTCATTGTCCAAGGCTCCAGAGAAAGGCTGCTGGGTCTCTCGGGACGCTTGGATGGTGGGCGCACCCAAAGGATGAGGCGCCATCCTGTGGTTGGAAAAAAGTGGAAAGGTAAGCGTGAGACAGTCTCTACTTTAGAGGCCACCCCATGCGGGATCGGGGTACCCCCCCCCGCCCCTTGTTTATCCCTTGATGGTTTCTAATTGTTACCTAGTCCTCTTGCGCAAAAGAATAGAGAGCGGCGGGTCGATCAGCGTCAAGCAGCAGTGGACAGTTGAGCGCCTCTGTTTGCGCCGAAGTTCTGCTGAGCTGCAGACGCCCTCGCCTGGAGTTAATTGAGTCCGGAAGCAGAAGAGAAGCGCAGAGGGTGTCCCCGGCCTCCTCTGCGGCGCTGAGACCCAGGGGGATTTCCTGAGCTACAAGTCGTGTGCCCCTTGGCACGCTTTATCTGCTCGGGCCCGGGCCAGGAGCGTGCCTGCCCCGCTGCTGCTTGCGCCACGGACCAATCAGCAGCGGGGGCCCAGGGCCCGCGCCACGCGAGCCCGCTCCTCCCCCTAACCCCCCACCCGCGGAGCACAGCTGGATTCCGGACAAAGGGCAGGGGTGGGGGGGAGGGTAGCAGTGCTCTGTTTGCGCTTCCCTCCCACCCCCCAGCGCGGGCTCGGTCCCAGCAACTCTCGGTTCCTCAAAGAGCCTCGCCCAGCCAGAAGAGCCCCGTCTGGCTCAGGTCTGGCCGCCGCGGACAGCCTTGCCTTTTCCTCTTTCTTCCTGGCATCTGTCCAGAACCTCTCTTGGTAGCAAGAAGGAGGTTTGGGGGTGCCTGTAGGGAAGGTCTCTTCTTTGAGTATTGCACTTGGGGACTTTTGGCTCAGAACTGGAAGCGGCTTGCCTGAATCAACCAGCGAACTAGGAGTCAAGTGTCTTGACGGCAGCTTGGAGGAGCGCCCATTAGTTCTAAGAGCCACCCAGCTCTCTGGCACCGCGGGTCGGGATAGGACATGTGTGTGAGCAGCGTTTTACACACTCTATTCTGGAAGGGGGGCTCAGAGTGACTAGTGCTAGTGACAGCTCGAGTCCTTTTTACCCAGAGACCATCGCTTGGCGGTGTCTGGGTCCAACTACACCGAGGTGCTGTCTCCCATCTCCCAGACCAGACGTGGAGAACCCCCACACGCTCCTCATCTGAGACACCGGTTTCCATTCCAGGGGCAAGGGTGGTTGGGGAGGGAGCGCAGAGGGGACATCCCACTACTCCACCTCAGGGACAGTCTCCCGGGGTTGAGGGAGGCCTGACCCCAGGGCCAGATGACGTGAAGAGGTCAGCCTTTTTGTCTTTTCAATGCCATGATGTGCAGGCAATGGGAGGAAAGCGGATCTATTTTCTGTCCCCTTTAGTCCTCTTGTCCAATCGCAGGCCAGAGAGGGCCGATATCTTCACCTAGTCCAGTCCCTGTCTCCTGTCGCGCATCACTCCTGAACTGTGGGTGAACACAGGGCAGGGATTCTCTGAAAGCTATCTGGAAAACTTTCCTGTGAGTCCGAAGACAGTTGTCTGTCCTTTCTTCCCTGCAGACCCGCCCCTCTTGTCCCCGCCTCGGACACCCCGTGGTCTTCTGTTTCCGGTCACTCAGGGTGAGGGGTTGTGGCTTCCGCTGCCCTCACCCCCTCTTCTTTCTAGGGCAGGGTGTGCGGCTGCGAAGCAGCGGGGGCTGGGAGTCAAGACTCTAGGCGGTAGCTCCATGCTTTCTAGTATGTCCTCTTCCTTTAACTCCGAGACTCCCGGAAACTGCAGAAGGGGCCGTGTCCTGGCTGGGAGACTAAGGGGATGGGGTCAGGGTCGAGGTAGGTCTGTGGCCGGACTCTAGTGATGGCCTCTGTCTGCCTGGGATGCTAGGGACGGTGTGTGGCGGGGTGAGGGGGAGACCAGCACAACATCTCCTAGGCAGAGGGTGGTTTACTTGGGGGTCAGAGGGAGGGGGTTGTAGAACTGGGCTGGGGCAATGGCACTGTCCCCGTGGGTTCTAAATGATCCTGAGTGGGGAGGAGATTCCCTCTCCATGGCTGAGAAACTGAATCTGGAGACAAGGCTGGACTGTTCTGTGTGCAGGGTTCTGGTCTCTATCTTCTGCTGCAGGCCTTCCTTTAGGCCATGTTTCAAGCTTTTCTTCTGGTCCCAGGAACCGGGACTTAAAGCCCTTTTTTGAAGACAGAAAAGCCAAGTCCCCAGAAGGACATGACTTGCCCAAGGTCACACAGCATATCGGAACTATGAAGAATTCAGAAGTCTCTTCTTAGTCCTAGATTTCCGCCCCCTCCAGTTACCTTGCATTCATTGCCATTGTCATGGTTTGGTTTGGGGGAGGACGAGAGACCCCAAAATGCAGAGAACAAATGATATTCTGAGTCTTTGAAGACTGCAGAAGTAATTGTCCACTCTCCTAGCCAAAGGAACTAGTACCAGGTATGGTCGGCCTCTCTGTTTCTCTGTCCTAGTACACAGCTTTGCTTGAATTAGTCACACACCCCCCCCCGAAAATTAGAAACTGGGAAAATGACTTTAAAAAACCATCCTAGGGCCCTGAAATACAATTGGGATCCAAAAAGGGAACCCAGGGTGCATGGGGACCCAAGCAATCATGGGTCCTCCTGGGTTCCTGAAAAGCAACCTGTATCTATGACTCTCATTCATCCTGTGACTGTAAGTGGGACCAGACTTGCCCTGGCTGTGTCCTGCCCTGTGAGTCTAATGGGTTTTGGCTAGAGCGCAGAGTTTCCCGTGCCAGGGAGAATTCTGGGAGTTCGTGGGGGGGAAATTTCTTGATAGGGAGAGACCCCATTAGAATTCTTAGGCAGGCTCCCCAACATCTCTCTGGTTCAGAGCCATTCTGGGCTTGTAGGTTGCTACCAGCCTTTTTGCGCAAAAAGCAGCCAGGGTAAGGAGCGCGCCGCGAAGGGGCTGTGCGCCTGAGCAATGCCCAAACTTCCTGCCAGTCTTCATTTAGCCAGGAGGTCAAGCTGAATGTCCAGGAGTCTTAGAAGTTTAGAGAATAAGGATCCATTCTCTCTGTCAGCTGCAGGGGACGCACAGACCCCTTTCCAAAGTTAATTCCTGAGCTTTTGGCGGAGGAGGCGGAGGCGCAGTTGACTGCGCAGTGCGCGCCAACTGTTCTTGTAAAATCGCCCTCTGCGCCCCCAAGCAAAAACTGTCTTACAGTGAGGGGTCATCCATCCATCACCTCTGAGGACTCCAGAACCCCCGAGTCCCTCCACCTTGTAAGACCCAGGCTTGCCTGGAGAACTGAGGGGTTCTGAGAGGGAGGCGACAGCCAGACGCCTGGAGGCAGATTGGAATAGAGGGTTAGGCAGCGGCTGGCCCTAGCGCCTTATGTCGGGCGGGCGGGGGTAATGCTAGCACTGCCTGGGGGCTCTTTGAGGATTGAGCGAGGAGGGGGGCCTCCATGGGAAGCTGAATAGCTAATGGATTGTCAGAGGAGGGGGCTTCTTTCTCTCGCCTTCGCTTTGGCCCTGAAAGAGAGGAAGACAAAAATCTGGCGAGCGAGGCTGCCGGGACCGAGACTGGCCACTTCAAACAGCCCTTCAAACAAAAGGAGACGACGAAAAGAAAGCCCCACCTGTCTCCAGTGTTTGCTAAAATAATAATAAATAGATTTCGTTTAATAAATAATTACAAGAGATTGTAAAGCGGGGTGCTTTGGAAAACATCTCAGGCGGGAGTGAGCGCAACCAGCCATCACCTGCTCCTAAGGCGAGCAACTTTATTGTTAAGTCACCCCCCAACTAGTTCGCCTCTGATAAACTCTCCTTGGTCTTCACAATGACTGTTTACTCATAGTTAGCACAATATTACCTTTGCCGTGATAAACCCGAAGGGGGGGAGATCTGGCCCCTGGCCCCTGGGCACACCTGTCCTAGAAGCTGACACATGGATTTGGCACTGAGCAGGCCTCCCCCCCGGGGGCCCTGCCCCCGTGTACATTGGCCCAATTGCCACTCATTTATAACAGGTTGGCTGCAAGGCCTATCTCGGTCCTATTTGTCTTCTTTTATTGAAAGCATATGGTCTCCAGGGGCTCACTAACCCCATATTTCATCTGCCAGGAGCTGGGGCGCTTCCGCAGGCTGGTGCTGCCCAGCGCATTGCTCCCCACCCAACGGCTGCTGTGCCAGCTGAGAGCATGGTGGAGGTTGGGTGGGGACAGATAAGGCGAGCTGCTCGCTGGCTTTAGGAGAGGGGCCATTCCCTTAGTGACTCCCCCCTCTGGGGGCCCTGGGAGCTCGTGCGCTCTTGAATGGGTGGCTGGTTCCTTTTCTTGGGTAGGTGAGAGGGCGCCATATGCTACCCCACAGAGCGCAAGAGGGAGCTTCGGCCCAGGGAGTCCTCCAACAAAGGGAGGAGAGGGGCTGGGACACTCTGGAGCACCCGAGGTCTTTATTTCCAGATCCCCCGCTCTGCTTGGAGCCGCCTCCCCCCCGGGCGCCCGCAGCTCGCGCGCAGAGCCAGGAAACAAAGTGTCCACATTATTGCTGCCGCCAGCCGCGCCTGTCAATGCGTGAAAAGGTGCATTGCGCACCCAGACACCTGTTGAAAGAGCGCCTCTTCTCAGCGCTTTCTACAGTTCTGCCTTGGGTCAGGAGCTGCACGGGGAGTGGGAGGCGGGAGGAGGGACAGTTACTGTGATTTGTGGCGACATATGTTGGGCAGCTCGTGTGTACTCCTCTCAGGCGCACAAGCATCCTCGCTCCCATACACACCCCGAGAGAAGGAGCAGCTGCTCGCCTCACCTTCTCACGACATAATACCTGGGCCGGGTGCTTTGGTCTTGCCTTTGAGATTCCAGCTCTCCTCCACCCTCTGCCTTTCTCCCCCTACACCCCAATCTTGGCAGCTTTACTCTAGGACTTTATTGTCAGCTTTAACAGATGCACGTCTGTTCCCAGCGCCTGGCCCCAAACACACACACACACACACACACACACACACACACACACACACACACACACACGTGCAAGCATCCACAGAAACCCTGAGTGAGGACACAGATGTGGAGCGCAAATGCCCATATGTCTCCCTTCTCTCCTGCCAGGCTAGGGGAAATAAACAGACTGTGATTCCCTCTACCCAGGGTGGGGGAAACAAAACCAAAGACAAACAAGGAAAGCTGGAGAAGATGGGGAGGCCACCTCCAAGTTGGTACTTGTCCTTTTGTGCAGTGCTCAAGCCAGGTGAGCTCTTGGGGACGACTCAGGACTCAGGATGTCCACCTCTGATAGCCTGGATAGGACCCCTCTGGGTTGAGTAAAATCGTGTCACAGGGCCTGAACTCTGGCCCTCTCCTGACTCTGAAACCACCATAACCCCAAGGAATTGTTTGCCACTTT